CCGTCCGCCCCGCGCTTTGGCCTTTGCGGCCCCAGAGGCGCAGGGGATCCAGGCCACTCTGTCACGGCGGCTCTCGCCGCTCCTGAAGCCTCATAACGGCCCCCGTTGTTCCTCGCGCCGCCGCCGTTAACGAGGAGCGGGCCGGGCCGCGCCGTGCCCGCGGACGGAACTCGCGGCGCGGGGCCCCGTGTCGCGGCGGGCCCGTTTCGGCGGCGGCCCCGCGCGGCGGAAGGCGGAAGGTGCGGCGGGAGGGAACGGAGGGAAGGAGGCGGCGGCCGCCATGGACGACCAGGGCTGCCCGCGCTGCAAGACCACCAAGTACCGCAACCCCTCGCTCAAGCTGATGGTCAACGTGTGCGGCCACACGCTGTGAGTGCGGCCGGGCCGCGCGGGAGGGCGGCGGCGGCACCGCCGCCGGCTCCGAGGGGCCGCCGGGCCCGGGCCCCGCCGGAGCGGGAGATGGGGAGGGCGGCGGGTCCCGTGGGGGCGGCCCCGGCGGGGCCAGGGCGGTGCGGGCCGCCCCGCGCCTCGCTTCCCCCTCGCCGCGCCGGAAGCTTCGTGTTTGCGCTTGATACTCGGGCGAGTGAAAACCCGAACGTGAGGTGATTTATTACTCGGCACGAGCTTTTTCCTGCATGAGGGGGCTTCGTTTCGCAGGGCACTGCGCTCAGTGTTGGGAGATSTGCTTCTACACTGATCGGCTGTCTTGTGTTTTAACAGCAAGGTCTTTTCTTATTTCTTTCCCCACCCCTGCTTTCCTGAAGGTGAGTGGCTGTTACATAATTGCTGCTGCTTCTTTTACCTGATCTAGGTAACCAACAGCTTGAGCTTGTTAACTTTCAGGTCTAGTGCCCTCTCTACTGTCTGAAGTTTTAAAGACTACGCCAAACTCTTCCTAGGTATACGTGGCACAAGCCTCGTGCTATGACAGCAACTGACAGCAGCTGCTTTTTTTTTCTCCTTTTTGTGTATATAGCAAAATGTATATTGAGCTTTTTGCTTTTTTAACTTAAAGCTGTGTGTCATTTATGCTTGGAAGATACTGCCTGCAAGKGTTAAATTACCCCTCATGCCAATTCCTTATTACCCCGATGCCAATTCCTTAGCCCCATGTGCTGCACAGTGTTACCGTAAGTGAATGGTATGAAGGACCAGGATTGCARCTAATGATATGTTGTTATATATGTATATATTTTTTTTTAATAGAAAGGAAAAGAGTTAGCTTTAATGCAGGCCCCCAGTCTTACTTGCTGAGGCTATGCAGMCTCTTGTGCTGTCCTGCTCTGGGAGGTGATCCCATGGGCAGAGGTGCTGGAGGAGAGAAGAGCAGCAGGAGCACCCTGTTGGTGACAGTGTGGAGTGATGCTGGCTGTGTGAAAGTGCAGCGTAAGCTGAAGTTCAAAAGGAAACAGCAGATTTAGGGCTGCGGAGCTTTAAAATAGTGTTTCTGTATTGTGCTGTAGTGAGGAGCGGAAGACTAGGGCTCCTCGTGGTCTTCTGGTCTCCAGATCCTCCAGAGGCCCTTCCAGCAGAGCACAGCATGTTTCAGTTTGCTCTCCTGCTTTGGTTCTCAAGAGTTTTTCGTAGCTGAGTTTCACATGAGGAAATGAGTTGTGTTTAGTGCTTGAATGGGTCCAGCTGCTGATGTTTAATTAGAGCATGTGGCTTTTTTTTCCTCATTTCTTCCCACCTGTCTTGGAAACGCATCTGACTTCCCTGGCTCTCGTAGTCTGGACATCTCCCTTCAGCAGCATCGTGCCCGAGACCAGATCAGCCGTCCCGATCCGTTTGGCCCTGGACTCAGCCAACCTGGTGTCCAAGCAAAGGCTGTGTGGGCATGCGAAGCAAGCCCAAGGGTTAAACTGAAGTCACTGGTGGATTTCTTTACTTCTGCTGTAATTACAGGCTGTTCTCCATAATGCAATTCAAGTGGATCACCCTTCCTCTGTAAATATCGTTCTGGGAAGATCTTAAGGTTACAGTTTTACTATTTTCTTATGATGTTATGAAGCCTCCATGTTAGGAGTTATGCCTTAGTAAWGGCAAACACAACCTGCTAGTAAAAATTGATTTGGAACTTGGAAGKTCAGATGAGAGCCCGGCCAGTGAGATATGAGGAAGTAGTGACTGACATTTGTGCATACATAGATATTCCTTGCTTCTGGCAGAAATTCCATCTAACGTGTTCCCAGAACAAAGGAACTAACAAAAATTGGGACACTTGGCCTTTGCAGGCAATTTATTGCAATAGTCTTCTGGTATTACCATTGAAAATGCTTCTCCAATTTTTAATTAAATTTCTTTGTCATATTTTAAACATTTAAGCATTTTAATATGCATCTTATGTACATTGAGGACACTTTGTTACGCTGTTTCCTTTGGTGTTTTCTGTGCTTAGCAAATCCAGTTCCTTCAATCTCCCCTCTTAAATGTGCATTTAAAAAAAAAATTATTATTTAACACCTGGGCTRTTCGTGTTGCTCTTTTGGGGACCTTTCCCCTCCCTGCTGGATAGTTCTCCTTGGACACAGCTCTCCATCTGAATCCTTAGTCCATCAGGCAGAACGAAACTATTTCACGTGCCTTGCCTATGATACCTGCGATCTGTATGACTCAGTAGGATGGTCGAGTCTTTGTGGATTTGCTTTTTTGTTGTTGTAGTGATGTGTGTCGGCTTGTGTTCAGCTGCAGCCCCGGATTCTTTAGTCCTTTACCACTCAGCATATCTCTGTGCCGATGTGGTGTTTAACCTTGCCTTTCCTGTTGTGTTACATAGCTGACTGTTCCTGCCTATTTACACTATCAGCCTCTGTTCAGATGATTATTCCACTCTCTTAAGATGGATTTGGATCCTGAGACTATCAAAGTGCTTGCCGTTCTCCCAGCTTTATATTCTTTRTATAATTAAAGATCCTGTCTCTCCCAATGGTTTGAGTGTGTCACTTGTGGGCAAGATGTTATCTGGGAGAGCTTCAATCATGATGTTCATGACCTTAAGAAATCTGAGCGGTGTATCTGAAGAAAAGCAAAATATGGTGTTGCCTCTGYAAGTTCCTCACTAAATAACATTGCATTTTTCTTATTTTCCAAGTTACATTTTATAATAGTGAAGGGTAATAAAGATTAGGTCTGTGGACATGCCCGATTCCTTTTTTATCAGGAGCCCTGCAGAACCTAAGCTATCTAGTTGCCCTTTCCCTGCCTATGTCATTCCTTCATCCCTGGAGGAAATTATATTACTTTACTTTTGTTACTTAACAAATCTCATGTTGGCTGATACCTGCTTTGTTATCTGGGGTACATAGGAGATAGGTTGTTAGACTATTTATTCCAGTATCTCCGCAGGCACTGGAGGTAATTATAGCTGGTTAGTGAGTCCTTGGTTATTCATTTTCTTGCTTTTTAGGGGCAAATGGTTTTGCCTTTTTTTCATGCTCTGGTCTTTACATCTTTAGATGGTGATGCCTGCCTTTTTTTTTTTTTTCACTTTTCAGAGGGTAAATATTGCTTTGTCTATTAGATTTTGAAATATTTAAGTAGGCTTTGAATCCGATAACACCTGAATGTAGTCTGTGGGCGTATCTGACAAATAGTCTGAAGAAGCACATTGCCCTCATCACTCTATTTGAAGTTTGATGATAAATCAAACACATGGGAAATTTTGAGACTTGACTTTGGTCTGTTGGCTTGGAGGGTTTGGAACAGTTGCTTTCATGTGTCTCCCAGTTCCAACCTGTGCTTTTGCTTCTTTCATTGTGATATGACTTAAATTAGCTCCTTTGTGTATATGTGTGAAGAATGATACAGAAAACACCCCATGTGCTTTGGTATTATCTGTTAGGGATTTTCCTGTCTATTGAATAGTGGGACAACACACTTTTCCTTTAACTGCTCTGCTTTTCAGTCCATGCCTTTTGAAGGCGGGTATTCCTGTTACCTTCTATGTTGCCCGCTAGTGTTTTCTTCCTTAGCCCATTGACCTTTCTCATTTTGTTAATGTTTGTACTTTCCACTTTAAGTGACCTTCAGTAATTTGATTTGAAATTGGACAAGAAAAGTGCTACATTTTTTTTTTTCCTTCAAATCACCAAAGAGCTTGCAGTTAGTTGAGGTGATTGTCAGCAAACCTCAAGTTTCTGTTTTGGGTTTCAGATAGCTTATGGTTTTATCATGAGTTCATTATCTTTGTTTTGTGACTTTCTGTTTTGTGCTTCTAAAGAATTGAGTGTGTTGACTTTTTATATGCTTTTTTTTTTCAGGCAAATTGTTTCCACTTTATGTTGTTAACCATCTCCTCCCTCTCAGTTAGAATAAAACCAGAAAAKCTGCCCTTTATTGTCGATCTTTTTTTCCTGCCTCTTATGTAAACAAAGCTAATCCCAAAATACTTGAGAACTTGTCGTGCAGTCTGCCCTGTTTGTTTCTTCTTTTTCACCAGATGCCTTCAGTGAAGGTCRCTATGAAATCCTGTGCTTTGCAGATTATCCTGTTCCTGCTTCTCACCTTCCTGGTTTTGTTAATTTAAAACTCTCTGATTTGTGCACAAGTGACACAGTACCTGTGTTCGCCTCCTATATTTTTTACTGTAGCCACTATAGATCTTTTAGCAAGTCTGATGAGTTGTTCTGGATACTGGGGTGAATCCATTCAGGCAGCTTTGCTTTTCTTTTGGATACCTTGCGCTGCTGCTGCCTTTGCCCGAGCGACGACATCTCCTAGCGCGTGGGCTCCAGGGAATGCGGCCGTGTTGGAGCTGAGTGGCCATGCAGATAAGGGATAGACTGGCTAGTGTGACCGGATGAAATTCCATGTTGGAATCTCTGCTGAAAACGTCCTTCAAGTTGGGTTCCCCTCACAGTTTATTCCAGTGGAATCATGCYAAACTTTCCAATTATGGGAACAGTTTTGAGAGACTTTTATTTTTTAGTATTTTGCTTTCTTCATCTATTGCTGCTTGGCCGGTATTGCCAAATGTGTAATACCATGTGTTTTTGGCATTGGGGTAATGTTAAATAAGCCTTTTCCACTATAAATCTTCCTTGTCTCTGGGAGGGAGGATGATAAATTAGCAGTTAAAAGTCGCCCTAGGATGGGACTTAGTATGGGAATGCTCAGTTCAAGAATAATGAATGTCTTTTTAAGTTTGTTTTCCTAAGTGTAACAGAGGTTCACAGCATTAAATACTTGGCAAATATGCAGAGGAGAGTGTATCTAATAATGGAGCAATGCCTGATTAAARTTCTGCAACGCATTAATTTGTAAGGTCTATCTATAGCTTTGCCTTCTTTTAGAAGTTTAGTCTCAAGAATTATATTAAAAGGCCTTTGCATGTATGAGAAGTTTTGATGATTCAGATGATTCCCAATGTC